ATGTCCAGACACCCTTGCTCCCCATGTCCGGTCGCTTGCCCACTCCTTACAGCAATCACAGAACAGCAGGTCCATGACCCGGAAGCAATTGTCCAGCAGGGCTTTAGGCCGTACCATCTTCAGTCCTGGCTTGCTCAGGGCAGACAGCACCGCCTCCACCTCGGGACTGACCACCTCATCCTAGAAGGGAGGGTGCTGTCAAAGCCATAGATGCCACCACCAGTCAGGAAGACACTGGAGACCCATGGAATCATGGGAGGACAAGATTCCCCAGGGCGAGGCCCACTATCTCCCACACAGCGTTCTGGTAAAGGCCACTCACCCAAACACAGGCATCCCTTTCTCCAGCTGTGGGGCCCAGCCAGCAAGGAGGAAGTTAGGGTCTCCTCTAGGTTTCACTCAAGCATGACCCATGCACAAGTCTTAGGAGGGATTCCTTGGCTCGAGGAGACGAAGCCCCCCATGCACTCTCAGGGGAAGGGAGAGGACCTCACAGCTGGTCAGGAACTGGAGCCCCAGGCCTAACCCTACATGCAAGAGGAGGCTCCTCACAGTTGACAGGATGGCGGCCTTGGGGGACTGCGGGGCCTGAGCTAGAAGGACTCTATAGAGGGCAACAGCCAGGCACAGGCCCGGAACACCTCATAAAGTAACTTCTTCCCAAAGCCCAGCCTTGCCCACCTGGCCAAGAAGGCCTCAGAAAGGCCCTGGACCGCCCAGGAGTTCACGTCACCCATTTGTCTGCTCCACTGCTCTCCTCGCCCCCTCGGTGGCCCAGGCTCCTATTTCTCAGGGACACATGAGTGTGTCTCAGGCCAAAGGGCACCTGAGCCACAGGGCTACAGCTCAGGGGAGCTGACGGCTCTCCCCAGGTGGAGAAACTTTAGGTGCCCTTGTCCCCTGACTGAGCCCCTTTTTCCTCCCCACCCTGTATCTGCCTTTTCTGGGCGCCTTCATCTGGAAGACAGGGTGACTATGGGGGGGCCTGGGTCCAATCAGCTGAGGTATCTGAGCAGTTAAGTTCCACAGACTGGCTAGGGCCTGGAGGAGCAGGTTGACACTGGAAGGCTGCAGCACTCCTTGGAGAAGGAGGCCTTAGGGCCCAAATGGAGTCTAGGAAGGTAAACCAGGAGGGGTACTTAAAGCAGACTCCCCTCCTCTGGGAGGGAAAGCAGGGAGGGGATCAGGGGCTCAGAGGCCCTGGGTCAAATGGCCAGCAGGAGCTGTATTCCGAGATGCTGGTGGCAGAGGACGGGGGTGGAACAGGAACCCATCCCTCATGGGCCACTTCCTGTCAGCAGGGAGCTCAGCTGCCCAAAAGCTGTATCCTCCTCAGGGCCCCAGTGCCACGAACACACCCTCAAAGCCAAGGACAGCTGGACTGCAGACCTTTGAAAAGCCTCTGAAAAGAATCTGATGGTCCCTCAAAGTTAAACAAAACAACTGCTTAAAAAGTCATAACCTGTTGCCCTCAAATGGTTTCCCAGCAGTGGAAGTGACACAGGTGTCCATCAACAGGCAAATAAAACGTACTGTAACCACACACTGACCTCCCTGCAGAATTACCATCAGGATCTAACCAAACCTGCAGAGTCAACACCACGTCATACTTCCCAGCAGAACTATGCTCCACAGCCTGGTCAAGAGCTGTGGGGCTTGGAAGGAGAGAGAAAGGAAACCTTTTCCGCCAAAAAGAGAAATGAAGGGATGGGGCCTTCAACCTACGCTGGCACTGAGCTAAGTAACCCAGGCACAGAAGACAAGTCCTGTATGATCCCATCCCCAACAGGTCTAGAGACAGAAAGGGGATCAGAGATTGCTGGGGGCTGGGGGCGGAGACATGCCCACTGGTTTCTGCTTTGGCCGATGAAAACCTTCTAGAAAAACCTTCATGGGGATGGACGGATACACGATGGGTGAATTCTCACTGTCACTGCTGTCAAGTCAGAACCAACTCATAGCAGACCCTCCCTCCCCACACCCCAGTTTTCCCAGGATGTACAGGTGGAAACAATCGTGGATGGAACTAATATGACCAAAATGGGCACTTCATTTATAGTTAAGACGGCAAAGTGTATCCATCTATTAAAAAACCAAACCCACCCCATTACTGTCTAATTCAGTCCAACTCATAGCGACTCTGTCCATTTTCCGAGACTGTAAATCTTTACAGGACAAGAGTGCCCGTCTTTCTCCTATGGAGTGGCTGATGGATTTGAACCACCAAACTCTCAGTTAGCAGCCCAACACATAATGCACTATGCCACCAGGGCTCCTTTTGTTCTATATAATTTGCTATAATTATGGGGGGGAATACAGCTTCTGACAAGCAGCTCTATGCACCAGGAAATGGGGTGAGGGCTTGGCTTGCTTCAGCCTCAAGGGCCCAACTCAAGTCACCCCAAAACCTCCATTCTAGCATGACTACCAGGGGCCCCAGGCCCTTTCAGCAGACAAGCTCTGCTCTGGCAGCAGGTAGATGGAGAAGGAGATGGAGAAGTGGGCTGAAGTCACAGGCTCTGGGTCTTAGAGCCACTGTTCTGGTGTTCAGGTCTCAGCCAACCCTTCTCTTCATAGGGGATGGGCCTGCAGCCCAGATATGGGGCACAGGACCGGAAGCAGAGCTGCACCAGGCTGGGGGGCCCACTCACAGACCAGAGCCTGTTCCAGCATCCACCCCAGCACTGGGGGATGTCAGAAGGAAATGGCCAGTCCAGATTTGTCTCCACAAATGCAATCAATTTTAGAAGCTAGGGTCACGGCTGCTCATGCTGCCACAAAGGAGAGATTTAAAAGCTAGTTGGGTATAAAGAATAACACAAACCCAAATGTTTTTTGAAAGAGGTCTCTAGGGAGGTCTGGTGGCCTAGTGGTAAGGAGTCGTATTGCCAGCTCAAAGGCAAGTGGTTCTAATGCAGCAGCTATGCGAGAAAAATGAGCAGTCTCCCCCAGTGTGATTTACAGCCTCAGCTGTGAGTCGGTTCCAACTTGGTGGCATACGGCAGCCACTAGGGTCTCAATGAGTGTGGAGCCTGGAGGTCAGGCAGAGGCCTTCACAGCAGCCCCCACTCCAACACTACGTCAGCTCTGACACTCTCACGGGGACAAGAGCAACAGTAAGAAAGTCATGGGGTCTGCTGACCTCTGCCAGGAGCCGAGCGACTCTCCCACCTCTGGCCCGGGACAGCTCTGAGCAGCTGCAAAAACACTTGCTCAACCTTTTCATCACCAGCACGCACAGTTGTTGAGGTTTTGCTGTCAGTGGCAGGTGGGTGTGCCAGGACAGGGGTGCACAGGATCCTGAAGAACGTGGATGGGGGTGGGCGGACAGCTGGTGGGCCCAGGCACACATGTGGTACGAAGAGACATACATTAATAATCTCGTCTGTCATATGATGTGGGGTAAACAATTTCTGATCTTTAGGGATGACATATCCCCATGAAGCCCTGGTGGTGTCGAAGGTTAAGAGCTGGGCTGCTAACTGAAAGGTGGGCAGTTCAAAGCCACCAGCTGCTCAACAGGAGAAAGACAGGCCATCTTCCATTGAGATTTACAGCCATGGAGTCTCCCTAGGAATCAGAATCAACTCCAGGGCAGTGGGTTTTTAAAGTATCTCTCCAAGAGTCTATGAGGAACAGGAATACATGATGTGCTCAGCTCCTAACTGGAAAGGTTGAGGTTGAACTCCACCAGAAGCACCTCAGAAGAAAGGCCTGGTATCTACTTCTGAAAAACCAGCCAATGAAAGTCCCCAAGACCACAGTTCTGCCTGGGACTGAACTCACCTGTGATTCAACATTCCACCAACCAGGCCCATGAGGGGATCAATAACCCGAGAGGAGCCTGCTCCTTACAACAGCCAATCATATCTGATTAAAAGGTCAGCATTTGCCCAGGGATGAAGCTCAAAAGGTAGAAAAGAAGGATGAATGGAAACAGGACACACCAGGGGGAGGTGGGAAGAGTGCTGCTACAGGCAAGGGAAGGTCAAGAATCGACACAAGTGTATGAATGCAAGACACATAAGTGAATGCAAGACCAATTTGGTCTGTAAATTGGCACTCAAGTCACACACCAACAAGTTAAAACCTTTTAAAAACAAGAATATGAAGCATAGTTCTCAGAGACACACGAGTCACCAAGAATCAGAATCAACTGGGGACAGTTCTCTGTCCCCAAGGACACTGAGCAGCTGGGAACCGAGAATCTGACTTTCAGAGGTGGAGACAAAGTCCAAGAGTGTCCACGACCTAGCCAGGAGCCAGGGAGAGGCCGAGCTGGGGCCCCCACTCCTTCTACTTTCTAGGGTGCTTTTCCTCCACTTCTCCTCCATTTTTCCCAAACCCTGCAGATATGCTGGAACTTTCTACATGTCCTTCCTACTCTTACCAACCCCTTCAAAACACAGACAAGTACATACATGCACATATGCACATATATGTGAGCACACACGTGCACACGCAGACCTGTGCATATGTGCCCATAGACGTGTGTGTGTGTGTGCGCGCGCGCGCGCACGTGCTCACAAGCCAGGGCATCCCCACCTCCCTGCATCTCACCCTGTGACGTTGCTGCACGTTCAGCAGCAGCGTCTGGACCTCCTCCAGGTACGTCCAGGACGGGTGGTCCTGCAGCAGCACGGCCTGGACTGACTCGATGGTGCTGAGACTCACCGCCATCCACAGGGTCCGCAGGTCCTGCCCGTTCACCTGGGCCCTCTGCTGCGGGGACAGGAGAAACCACGGGGAACTCCAGGTACAGAGCCTGGCTGAGCCGCCCAGACCCCTCGGGATATGCCCCACCCCCGGCTCAGGGAGCCCCGAGCCAGTATAAGGGCGCTCAGGGGGGACCTGGAGCATGGCACGCGACTCCATGACCCCCATGTGCAGAGGTCTCACCAGCCTGGTGATGTTGGCAACTCTGAGCACTCCCTCATAAGGCACGCTGATCCGGTAGTTGATGGGGAAGTAGTATTTCTGTGGGGAACAAGGGCGACACACGGGTCAGACATGCTCGCTGGACGGGCCCTCCCAGCCTCCCCCCTCCCAGCCGGACTCTGGTGCTGGCCGAGGCAGGCCAGGGACGCAGCTCACTGAATGCATCCGGCTTTCTTGTGCTCCACAGCTGTTTCTCCCTTGTTCTGTAAACAGCTCAAGGTCTGGGCAGCCCTGTGCTGGGCAGGTGTGTAAGGCATCACTCTTTAAACAGAATATGCTCACTTCCTGTCTCTGTGTCTATTCGGGTAATTCTCACAATATGCCCAACTTCATCGTGCTTTTTACACCCTTAGCAGATTACACCCTCGCATAAACATTACTCTCCTGTACACTGAGCACACGGGAGAATTCGTGTGATGCGCACTTTATTGCGGTGTCAGGAGCTAGGTCTGCAGTAGCCCCTAGCCATGCCCGCACAGAATTCTGCTTAAAGCAGAAGTTTTGGATCAGAGGTTAAGAACATTTTTCCCCCTTAAGGTGGTGGTTGCTGTTCGGTGCCTTCAAGTTGGAAGTGACTCCTATGTCATTATAAAGGTTATAAATCACCGGGGAGAAGATGGCCCATTTTTCTCTTGTGGAACCGCTGGTGGATTCAAACCACGTGCCTTATGGGTGGCAGCACAACTCCTTACTGCGTGGCCACCAGAGCTCCCGGTGGGGATAATAAAAATGTTCTAAAACGGCTCGTAGTGGTCGTTACACTTACCTATGACGTACTGAAAACCAGTGCATCACGGTAATGGTAAATACAGCGTAGACGGGTGAATTACGGATTGTGAACTCAATCTCAATAAAGCTGGTGGGTGGTTCGAATCCACCAGATGCTCTGCTGGAAAAGGAGTGACAATCTCCTGTACCAGCCAGATCTGATTTGATGGTACATGCACAAAAAAAATAATAATAAAAAAAATAAAAATTTTTAAGAAATAAATAAAGCTGGTGGGAGAAAAAGTAGAGGGACAAATACTGTATATGGCCATTATTGTAGAATGTGTATGAGGCTCCAAGGGACTGGCGGGATTAACAGAGGGATGAGGATGGGTGGTGGGGGTGGGGAGTGTTAATAATAGGGTCTCACAATTTGATGGGTGAGGGAGGAGTGGGTAAAGGAAATGGGAACGACCCAGTGTGAAAACCAATGCATATGAACTTTGTAAGAAAACCAGCTTAAAATAAAAATTGTACTTAAAAAAAAAAATAAGACAGACACTGTCGTGTGGGCTTCTGCATCCTACAGAGAGCTAAGCATTGGGATTCTAGGCCCAGATTCATAGCACTGGATTCTCCCCAGCTAATAACAGTGCCTGGGGTGAAGGTGAGTGCCAGGAGGAGCTCAGAGAGGTAGAGGGGAGGTTGGGGCAGGAAGAGTAAACCAAGCACACACCAGGGGCACCAGCCAGCACGTGTAGTGAAGGCTGAAAAGGGCCATGCTAACACAGGTCCAAAGGAGACCCTAAGTGGCCGGACACGATGGTGGAGAGCTGGGGACCAGGGAGGCCCCCTCAGGGGCCGTCAGGTGTTTACCATGTACTGCAGCCGGTTCCTGTACTGCAGCTTGTCCCGCAGATAGCCAGTCAGGGTACACGCCTCTGGCTGGGCCGGAGTCCACACCTCCAAGCCCTCGTCCCCCAAGGCCATGCCAAGGAGGATGCCTAGATCTGTGGAACAAGACAACAGAAGCAGGTGAGGACACCATGCGCACTGTCCTGGTGTGCAGGGTACAGCGCGTCTCCCAGGGTACAAGCACCTGGGGGGAGGGAGCAGGAGTAGCAAGGCCCAGCACCCCAAGGAGCCCTTCCCACCTGGAGAGCTTGCCCAGGGGTCTGCACCAGGAGGACAGACAAGTACAGGCAGCCTGGTGGTCCTCCACCTTTGTCCCTGGGCCAAGCGAGACTCTCCCACTCTCACCCTCTGACCCCAGCCCCCTCCAGGGCACCCTCAGCCCTGAGTCTAGGGGGTGACATGTTTTCCAAGCCTGTTGCTGGGTTTTCTGTCCGAGGACTCAGGAGACCTGGATTCTGACTCTACAGATGACTCTTTGCGGACACGAGTCACCCTCTACCCTCCTCCACTGGCCTCTGCGCTGCCCTTCCCATCAGTGCCATCCTGAACCATACCAGCCTTCACCACTGGGAGTCGCTGCGACTCAAAAAATCAGCCTTTGTGATTTCCTCGGGACCCCAGGGGACTGGAAAGACTGAAAGATAGCTAAGAGAATTTGAAACAAAAATGAGGCAAGGCGATAAAGCAAAGAGAACAAAACAAATGGGCAAGAGGCCTCGCCAAAACTCCACCCTCACTAGTAAACAAAGAAATGCAGACGTCATCATATGCCATTCTCCACCTATCAAAATGGCCAAGGTTTTGATTTCATTTTAGTAACACTTGACACTGGCCTCATGACAGGCAGTGAGAGAGATATGGCAAGTTTAGCTAAGGACTTGGGTGTCCGCGCTTCTAGGAACGAATCTTACTGAAGATGAGAACAGACAAAGACAAAGACGTGCGGGCAAAGAGAATGTACCCCTCATGACCGGCAAATTGGTTCTGACCCACAGTGACTCCCATCGAGTGTTCAAGATTATAGATGTTTATGGGCTTGTCTTTCTCTCTAAGCACCTGGTAGATTTGAACTGCCAACCTTTTGGAGAGGAGCACGGCATTAAGGGACCACAGCCCGGGCTCCCTATTGTCAAAGACTTGTACTATAGGGAAAACTAATCAATGGTTTAGATGTCCAATAATCAAGGATGTAGCCAATAAGAATCCCACGGTGAAGCACTCTGATGGCAGGCTTCTGTGAGGAGGAAACTTCTGATATGCTCAGTAAAGGTTTTGACATTTTTGGGTTTGGGTTTTTTTAAAAGAACAACCACCATGATTCAGCACCCCAGATCTGCACACATAGCCTGGCTTGGATTCTGATGAGAAAACGTGGTAGAAGAAAATCCTCCCTATCTCTGTGAGATATTCCTATTCTTCCCACTTTTTCCAGAACAGTTTTTAAATCCACTATCAATATTTATTATTATTAGAACCCAAAGCAATAATTATTTTTTTTCATATACAGAAAAATAGCACTGTACCACATAACATGGTGAATGTACGAATCCCAGTGGATTGTACACTCTCAAAGAGGTTAATTTCATGTTATGTGAATCTTGCCTCAATTTTAAAGAATAAAAAACTAAAAAACTGTTGGGAGCTCCGAGAGGAGCCAGAGGCAGACACAGGCCTGGCTCACCCTGCCTCTCTTCATGCGTGGGAACCAGCGAACCCACCTCTCACTCCCTTCCCTGGAATGCAGGGGACATTGTACAGGACCACACCACCTGTCCATGTTCCTTCTCCCACCTGGTCCCTGCCATGCCTTTGCTCTGTGTGTCCTTCACCAAGAACATCCCTACCCAACTCAAACCCGCTGGAGCCAGAGGCCCATTTGCACCCAGGTCCCATCTGGGCCAGCTCATCACCTCCACCAACAATCACGCTTTCCCACGGCTGCACATTTGTGAAAGCAGGACCGAGCCTCCCACCATGTCCTCAAGCGCCCGACACAGAATCAGGACACAGGAACAGGCAAATGCAAAAGGATCCTGCATTTGTCCCTTCCACTTCTACTGTCTCAAACATCATAAGCCCCTCTGTGCTCACCACCCTTGAGAAAAGCCCACTGCATGGGGTCATCACCTCCGTCTCACGGCTACAAATCACTACGGGAGCGGACAGCCCCACCTTTCGCCCCCAGAGCAGCTGATGGGTTCGAACCATCCACAGTGTCTGGTCACATAGAGGGCTTTCCTGAGGCATCCCCACCCTCCCATCTGCAGCACCATCTGCTGACACGCCTCCAACACTCAGGGACCCAGTGAAGACACGGATGGAAGGACAGACAGCCACACCACTCCCAGACTGTGGGATTCTGGGAGCTGAGCCCCAGGTCATGAATTTGCATCTCTAACAAGCATCCAGGGGCTCAAGAACCTGGGTCCTATTGGTCACCAACTGGAACCCGAAGGGCCACATCTGGTCCACAGAGCTCACCCAGACCAGCTGCCATCTTTACAGCCCATCTCTGCCCACCCAGGGACTTGCCTTCCCATGTGGTGGGCAATCACCAGATAGCCCCATCTCGGGCCCCTCCACCCCCACATGCTGCCCCACTGCCCTCAGCTGTGACCCCAGCCAGGCCTCTGGGAAGGGGGCTGTGGCCAGGACTCACTCCAGAGTCCTTCACACGTCCCAGCCTGACCCAGGTAGGGTGGGGGGCTCAACCACAGATGGCCTGTGTCCCCCAAACCTGACCGCCTGTCTCCAGTCAACAGCCCCAGGGCCATTTCTAACGTTCGGCTTATTTTCTACCCTCCACCCGGATAAATGGGTCACCAAACAGGGGGCATTGGGGTCATGGCCTCGGGTCCACTCCTCACACCTTTGGGGCGTGGGATGGCTGATGAGACCCCCTGACCCCAGAAAAGAGTCTCATTCTGCCCCTTGTCCCCTCTAGAGACCAAAGGCCCACAAGGCTGACAAGAAGGAGGGGAGAAGTTCCCTCCCGGTTAAGGGGGTGAGAAGCTAAGAGGTGGGGGTGGGAACTTAGCAGGAGCAAGGGGCTCCCTTCGCTGGGAGGGAGGGTCTGAGTAGGAAGCTGAGGGGAGTAAGGAGCCTTCCTGTGCTGGGGTGGGGGGAAGAAATGGGAATACCGTCACACACACACACACACACACACCCATCCCAGACCAGATCAGCTCTTGCCTGTCCTTGACCTTTGACTCTTGACTCCAACCCCTCTCAATGTTTTCCGGGTCTGAAGACGCTGCTGTCCAGGGCTCCTCCTTCCTCTCTCCATTCCTGTCTCCTCTTACCTCCTCCTCAGAAGAGACCCTCAATGTCTCTGACCCAGTTCAGCAACAGTGACTCATTAAAACACCTCCAACTTGAGCTTCCAGAAACATGAGAATTTCCAGTCACATCCCACCTCCAGCTCAAGAACCTCCCAGGGCTCCCTACTGCCTGGGGAGAGGTGTTCGTGCTCCCCATCGTGGACTCGAGGCTTCAGCAAGACGAGTTCAAACCAGCTGTTCAGCTGGGGCCCCCCCTCTGTCCTACCGCTGAGCCTTCGTGCATGCTGCGCCCTCCACCTGGAACAGTGCCCCCCTCCTTCCAGTGTCACTCATATCAACACCGTCCTGCCCGCATGGCCACTCAGGGCACCTCCTCCAGGCTGTCCTCTCCCATGGCCCGTTTGACTTTGAAGTTTCCAGAACCAAAGTCTGGGTCACAGCCCCCAGAGGGCCGGGGTGGAGCCCGCTCCTCTCAGAACCCCTGGGGATCAAGCTCAGGACCTCTGCTCCTTGCTCCACAGGGCACCTCATGTGCCAGGCAGGGACAGAAGACAGAGGAGGTCCTGTTGTCATGGCAGTGACTTCCCAGCGGGCATGTGGGCGGCACCGGAAGAGATGCCAGATCCCAGTGTGAAGGGATCTCGGTCTGGCCTCCCACCCAGCCAGCTCGAGAAGCTTCCAGATCCGTTTTTATAAAAAAATTCTCCTTTCAATCTATTTTTCTTTTTACCAACATTTCTCTCTCTGCTTCAGTTTTGCCCCTCTGCAAGGAGGAGGGGGGCAGAGAGGCTCTGGGGACACCTCTCCCTGACACACTCTCCCAGCCCCTCCCTGCAGCCACACCCAGGGAAGTGGAAATCCTCTCTGCCCACCTCTGCCCAGGTACTTCCAATGCCAAAAAGTCTGAGAAGGTGAGCTGCTGCCGCTCACTTCCAAAGCCTGTCCCCGTCCTGTGACCACCGAGGCTGTCCCCAGCCAGCCTGAGACCCCCCAGCCAGCGTTCCCTGGGAGCCTGGGACCAGCCTGGGGCACAGGGGTTGTGCTACAGGAGGCTGCAGTCAACCTGGGAAGCATCCCAACTTCTCAGCTGCAAGAATGTCCCAGTTGCCATGGAGACAGCCCAGCCCAGCTCTGGGCCAAGACCTCCTGGGGCCAAGTCCCCATGGACCCCAGCACTCACAGTGCAGCCAGGCGTGTCCCCAGAGCATGATGGGCCGCTGTGTCCCTCGGAGCAGAGGCAGCTGGCACCGGCACCGTCCACAGAGGCCCGAGCGGGGGGCCTACATGGCCTCGGGTCAGCAGAAGTGGGAACGGAGGAGGAGCTGGGTTCTGGACACGGGGCACCAGCAGGTGCTGCTGGGGGCAGCGTCCACGCTTATCTGCCTGGCAGTAAGGAAGATGGCCAGCGGGCAGCAGCTGGCAGCCCCATCGTCGCCCAGGAGCAGGGCAGAGACCGCGGTCTGGGGGCTTCCTGGCCGGCGGGCCCCTGGGAATGTGCGACTTGACTCCGCTGTGATTCCTTGGCTGCAGCTGCTCAGTGTGAAATCTGGCTCTGAGGAGAGAAAGGAGGAGAAAGTGATTATGTAAGACGTGAAGGGAGCTGCCACACAGCCGTCTCGCTGGGAGAGCCTATCGTGGGTGCTGCACCCACGGGGGCCAGGTGGGGAAGCTGGGGGTGCCAGCCACCAGGCAGCCTGGCTATCCGGGAACACAGCCTCACACTCAAGAGGTGACTTCCTGACAGCCAGAGGCAGCACTGGCCCAGAAGGGAGATATGATGACATTGAATGGAAAGCAACAGCACAAAAGCAGGTGCCACAAACGAATGAGCTGTGTGTGCAGGTTAAATCAAGGGAGGCTTCCTGAGGGAGGTGAGTTTAAAGTTCAAGTGGATGTGCTCTGGTAACTACAGCTGGTAGATGACTCAGGCTGTCAGACAGGCTTAAAAAGCAGAAGGAGACCCTTCATCCTCCTGTCCGCCTTCAGGCTTAGCCCCATCCTCACGTTACCCCAAAGCTATGCCCCCGTTAAGATCTTTGGCAGATAAAATATTAGGTTATCTGGTCAATTTCAAGTTGCTTGTAAACAGCAAATTGTTGTTGTTTTGTGCCGTCGAGTCGCTTGCAACTCATAGTGACCCTTTGAACAAGAGCCCTAAACCCTGCTCTATCCCGCGCCAACCTCATTGTCTCTGACACACCTACTCCCACTACCCTAATCACTGAATTGATCCATCTCATCGAGGGTCTTAATATTTTAAATTATATGCACACTTATGCTTATCATGGCTTTGTTCACAATACCAAGGAGTTGGAAACAACCCAGGTGCCCATCAACAAATGAATGGATAGAGAAGCTGTGGTATATTCACACAATCGAATACTACGCTGCATTGAAAAACAAGGAACTCATGCACTATTATTCAAAATGGGTGAGCCTGGAGGACATTATGCTGAGTGAAATATCTCAGTCACAAAAGAAAAAATACTGCATGGTGCCCCTGCTGTAAAATGGGACTGATATCAGGGTGGGGGTAAGTCTGAGAAAAACTGGATAAATTGTGCATACTGCACTGAAACAGATGAGGGAGAGAATAATTTAAAAGCGATGTATGATAGGGTATTATGGTTATCACAAGAGTC